ATTAAATCTATACTTATACAGTTGCAAGACTCCATGAAATTATCATGTGTACTTTAACACTTTGACCTTCTCAAACTACTACCACACAAAGGTATTGATGTCGTATAGTAAAGTAGCCTCTATAGTATCTCTCAATGTTTTTCATCATGCACACTTCATACTTGTCAAACTACCACACAAAGTTATCTACTTTGTATACTATGGCATTTTCTTCACTGTCAATATATGTAGCACTTCCAATAAATAAATCTCCTAAACAGCTAATAGAATATGGTAACTTAATTCCCATCCGTTTCAAATTATAGAAAGTTAGAATGTTTCCATGGCTGTTGAGTATGTGTAAGTAGTGAGTGTTAGGTTCTACTATAAGAAAGTTCTCGGACGGTGAAGATAAAATGTCATAAGTTTTGAAAGGAATATCACCATTTATCTTTGGATGTCCAGTGTAAATGTTTACTAGGATTCCTTCCTTGTCTAATACAACATCCTGCCATTAGCAACGTCAGATATCCAGTCTAAAACACCAACAATATTGGCCTTGTTACTATGGATACGAGCAGGAACAGTAAATAATGGTTGACTGTTATTGTCATATTCGAAAACTTTTTCCCGTTTACATGTCTGGCCCATGACTATAATTTGTCTTGGTCCTGAAGCAAGGAAGGGTTGTTCAGTGTCCTTGACGCCAACCATTACTTTGTTTTCGTGCGTTACGTGTACACTGATTGCCCAGAGTGGTGAAACGTCGTATTGGAAATCTTTTACTTCTTTTGTACCTACTGATGTAACTTTGATGACAGATGATTTCTTAAGACAAAGCAGTAATTCTCCATAAGACATCAGATATATATCTTCAACTTCAATGTTAAAATTTGAGATGACTTTCATGACCTCTCCTGATGATATGACTTTCAGCACTTGTTGAACATTGTAGTCATTTATACAAAATGAACCATCAGAACTCCGGGACATGATTAAATGTTTTATTCAGTGGTTTGTTTTGTTGAGTAGATTGTATGAAGGTATCGGGAATGGAGAAAACTTTCTCAACATCATGTGATTGCAATAAATTATTTACCTGGTCTTTTTGTGTGATTAAAGTCTGTCGAATTTCAGACTTCTCTCTTTTCTCATTATTGATTGATTTTGCGACATCTTCCCACTTTTGATCAACTTCATTCAAAAGTTTATTGACGCGTTCCTTTACGGCATGTGATAAAACGTTTTCATAACTCAGTATTCCTTTTCTTGTTCTTTGATAGCTAGCTTGTTCTAGAAATTGTATATTGCATAGCTTTGCCCCCTGTCTGTAAGGCTGTGGATTGCTGAATTAATATTTTCCTGCCCTTTTCTAATTTTTGTGAGTTTTATGTCATATCCTTCACTGAATTCTATTAATTTATGTCTTTTATGAGTTTTTGCGATACACTCTGGGCACACAATTTCATCACAAGATTTACAGTACATGCAGCATTTATGTATTTCATGGATTCCACAGACTAGTTTAGCGAAATTTGGTTTAGGTTTAGACTCGGTCACATATTTACTGATATCTTTTATGTCTATAACTGTATGGTCCTTAGCGGGTGGAAACTTTGGATGCACTTTATCACATCTTTGACACATCATCAACCCACACTCTAAACATTTAAACTTTAGTTTTGGTTCATTTTTACATAACTGGCAGACTATTGAAGCTTGTTCTTTCCTCATTGATCTCGCTAATGATGGGTTAGTTGCCATTTTATTTACCTTCTTCCTTTTACATTGAAAGTTGAGACCTATGCTGTGTAGTTGTATGTTAAACGTCATTTAAGCTTGGTCTACGTAAAATTTGGCTCTACGATTGTAAATATCCGTTCACTTAGCTCCTTAACGCATTCCTATATAAACGTAGCGATATTATGCAACTTTGTTTAGTAAAATAAAATAGTTAATGACTATCAGATTATATTTCTGAATTTATTTTTATAAACATTCATAATGATTTCCACGGCCTTTTACGTTTCAATACCTAATATGTAGCACTTGAAATAATTTAAAACATCCGAATTATACACTTAATACAAGTTTATATATTATATTATTTCAAACAATACAAAATAGACAAATAAGGACTGCATTAATGGTCGGAGATATATTTCACAAATTTACCAGTATCCATATTTTCATCTAATATCTAGTCTTTAAAATCAATTATTTGGGCATGATTTTGCACTTGTATTTTATTTAAGATGCCAAATTTTTAGGTTGAAATTTGAATTGTATTTTTCTATCGTAGCCCAACGGTATTAATGAATTTAATAGGAATATATCAACACCGACTGACCAGCGGCCTTATTTGAATAGCAGCAGTTACTATAAAAGGCTATTTTGAAATGTCTTTGTTAAACAATTGACCAGTATTTGAAAAATAAATCATAATAAACAATGGGTTGATCAGGTCTTCAACGGTTTTATGTTATTTTTATTTTCAAATATTTTGGCCTCGACCATCACTGAGGAATAATTAGTGTCCAAATGTACATCTAGTGCAGTGAAATTGGTACCGTTTATGTTATTTTCCTCAAATTGCAAGATACGGAACAGCAACATATACACTACTTTTGATACATTAGGTTATTTCCGAGATAATTGTCTCCTGTACAAACTCCTTTAATTTTTTTTGTCCTTTTTAATCCCTAAAGACACGAAGAAACTAAAAGATTGACTTCATTGTACATAGAAAAAGTTCGTTCTGTTCGTGTCTTGAAGATAAAATGATCTCTTTGTTTGTCATCCAAATCTTTTTTCTCTGTTTGCCTTGTGAGAGTTATAAAAAATTTAAAATAGTAAATACGTGGAAATACCACTTTTGGACAATACAGACATTTTAATATATATAAATACCTGAGTTTTAATGATTTGCATGCCTCCAATCGATCAATTTCTTAAGTTTTCAACAATAACATTATCGTAACCGCATCAGAAATTAACTATTACTAGTAGCTGAAATCAGGCTGTTGATTTTCTCTTTTGAATTGTTTCACATTTCGTTGTCCCAGAGTCCTTTGGAGTAGAGTAGCTCACAGAGATCATAAGATTCCCTTATGTTTTGTTTTACCCGCGTTGCCAACGACGAAAGCAGGTCTAGTAACCGCTTAACTCTGTCCTTCATTCCATCATTCCGTCCGTCCGTCCTTGGGTAGATAACTTTCGTCAAAGTTTTTTTTTAACTTTTATTGAAGGAAATGATTTAAAATTTGGTCTGCAGCTGTACAATGTTGCGTTATAGCGTGTAAGTAAGTTTTATATCTGCGATGCATCTACTTCCTGTTTGCCGATAGTTGTACATGGAAAAGGTTCGTCAAACTTTTCTTGACTTCTATATACATTTGGAAGCGAATATTTTTGTATTTGTGTTGCGCTTATTAATGTTCAGTTGTAGCTTGTAAGCAAGTTTAACATTTACCGTGCATCCACTTCTTGTTGTTTGATAGTTTGAAATTTTTTTGATAAGAAACATTTAATTTTTCCTTGCAACTAGTTTTGTTTATGATAACTTATAACAACTAACATAACTATCAAATGTACATTTAATTTACTCAAAATTAACCATCAATGAGTTACAAAAGTCTTGTTGAGTGTTTTAAATGACATAAAAGATATATATTCATATTTATGCGCACTGAATTTCTAACCTCGTGAAAGACCTGGTGATATTTTCTGAATGCATTAAAAAGACATTAGCTGTCAAATTCATCCAAAATTCTCATATTTGATTATAACAAACTGAAACGTGCATCCAAGTTTCAAAACGTCCAAAAGAAACAATTAGCAATGCATCGACACGTTATAACGTATAAGTATTTCGTGCGTATTTTAAACTACAGTGCTATAATGGTTTCACTATGATAGCTCATTGCAGACTACCAAGTTTTGTACGTTTTGGCCATCTCAAAACTATCACGCAAAGTTATTGTTATCAGTTTTTTTTTTATCTAAACACAACCGTACACATTTATTTTACCTCACTCTTACCATGTTTCAAAGTTATAAAATCTTAATTCATTTTAAGACAACTTCATAATATTATATTTGTAGATTTTTGCTTTTTTTGGTAAAAATCACAACCTTCAGATATCCAGCCGTTAACACCAATAATATGAACTTGTTACTATGAATACGAGAATTGTTTGTTACGATACTCATATTGGAAAACATGTTTTTAGATTCAAGGTTTGTTTTTATTTTTTTCAACCATTTTTCAAAAGAAACGAACTATTTTTTGCTTCCTCGATGAAGCTAATCATTATTTTTGTTCTGAAGAAATTTAGAATCACACATTTTTTAAAGAAAAACATCCCCTCACACATGAAAAATTGTAGGTGTCTTAAACAAATTAAATATTTGTAGCCCACTATAACTGAAGGAGATTTATTCTCTTAGACTATTTACAATATTCTAATAATATTCCGGACCGCACCATACTACCGACTATCGTTCCGGTAGATGCAATAGGTCACACAGATCAAGGTCTGCTGAACACAATTGCAAAATCCATTACCAGTATTGCAATGACAGCGGAAACACAATTAACAATCTGCTGTACACGCCATAGTAAAAACAATTGTCTTCGATAGCAATCGGAACCACTGATACTATTGTATCTGCCGTACCGATAGTTGTTAATACGGGGTGTGGACCTCTTTTTCTAAATCTGGATTCCACAATTCGTGCTAATAGGAATTAGAATACTAATTTTTTTCTGGACATCAATAGTAGAAATCCAAATTGTACTTTCTTTCAGTGCCGATTAGTACTCTTATTTGTTCTAATAGGATCCTTTATCTTCTTTGATTGCAAGTGGTGGTTATATATTACATTAGATTCCAATTCTGCAATGTCCCTGTTTCTAATTCGGCCTAGTTGCTCCATGAACAAACTAGTCCTATAGCATATTCATTGATTCGGTGATAGTGAATGTCTTTAGACCTATACCATTGTTTCTTTTTTTCCAGAAAAAGCCATAACTATCACAGAGTTCAAAATGATGTTGAGTGAGTAATTCTATTTTTACCTTATCATGCTTTTCTCTCAGCTATTATAGCTCACATGTCAAAAATATTTCCATTTGGACTTCTACTCTTGATAAAGAGTTCATCATGCACATATATGTTTCCTTCAAATGTCGGACGTCAAATGCTATTGTCCTAGAAACGAATATAAAAGTCATGGGAGAAGCTCAAGTCACAGACCAGGTCGCAATCGATTAGGTTGTTAGAATATAACATACATAACTTCGGTCTACGGGTTCATTTAAATAATAACATATATCATTATAACACATTATAGAAGTTTTCAGCACCATGAACTCAGGCATAAAAAAACACAATTGAGCTTTTCTATCTATATGAACCATATTATATCGTATTCCTAGGAACGTATAAGGCACCGACTATTCATCTTTTGTATGAGGTGTGTTTTTAGGGGAAGGTGTTAAATCATTAAAAAAATATGTTTGCTTCTTAATTTCTTGAAAAAAAATCTGAAAGGAAGTAAAAAAAAAATGTTTGTTTTTATTGAAATTTATCAATAAATTAAATAAAAAAACAATTTTAATTTGAAAAAATCTCTTGTTTTTGTATGTTATTGACACAATAAGTTTAAATCAAAGTTGAAAGAAAATGTTTCGAGAAAAAAAAATCCCATTCCCACAAAAGATGATTGGTTGAAAAAGCGGGATCTCTGAGTTAATCAATGTGAATCTGACATTTAGTGGTAACCTGCATGTTGTAAGTAATTTGTAATTATATACCATATTTTGACATTCTTTTAATATATTTTTTCGCTTTGCATTTTCATCTTAACGTCACTTGTACCTTTTTGTTATTTTATTTATTATGCTTTTGTTTTGTCTGTATACCATTGAGTCAGTAATATTTTTATCAGAATAAAATATTTACATAGTATCTTAATCCTTGTAATAATTATTGTAGATCAGGAGTTTTGACTGGCACTGATAATGACAGAAAGCTTATCGAAGCTAATATAAGGTAACTTAAAAGTTCCTGTTAGGTTGAATCGCCTCTTAAAAGTTCATACTAGGTTTTGGATTTTCATATATTTTGACCTCGATCATCACCGAAGATACTTTGATTGTCGAAATGCGCATCTGGTGAAGTATATGTGGTACCGTTAATGTCATTGCATACTTTAACACACAAAAATAAACTCAATTATTTTTATACGACCGCAAATTTATTTGCGTTCGTATTATGTTATGGTGTTGTCTGCGTTTGCGTCTGAAGACATTTTGGTTCGCAGACAATAACTTGAGTATAAGTTCATGGATCTCTATGAAATTGTAGCACAAGGTTTCATATCACTAAAGGATGGTTGGGATTGTTTTTGGGGGCTATTGTCCGAGTGGTTTTGTAATTAGGGGCTAAAAAAGGTCAGTTTTACTGGTTCATAGAAAATAAATTGGTTCGCAGATAATAACTTTAGTATAAGCGTATGGATGTGTAAGAAATTTTAGCAAAAGGTTTCATACCACAATAGGAGGCTTGGGATTGATTTTGGGGGTTGTAGTCGTAGCTGTTTAGTAATTTGGGGCCAGAAAGGGACCAAAAACAGTTATTTGTCTGGTTTTAAGACAATAACTTGAGTAGAAGTGTATATGTCTCTGTTAAATTTTAGCACAAGGTTCCACACCACAATAGGAAGGTTGGGATAAATTTTGGGGGTTATTGTCATAGCTGTTTAGGAATTGGGGGTCAAAAAGGGCCTAACAAAAACAATTATTTGTGTGGTTCATAGTTAATAATAACTTGATTATAAAGTGTATGGATCTCTATTAAATTTAGCACAAGGTTCCATACACCACAATAGGAAGGTTGGGATTTATTTTGGGGTTATTGTTGTAGCTGTTTAGTAATTAGGGACCAAAAAGGGGTAAAAAACAAGCATTTTTCATGATTCAGGAAAATGATTTGTATATACGAGTATAGATTTCTATGAATTTTACCACAAGGTTTCATACTTCAAAAGGAAAGTTTTGATTGATTTTTGGGGGTCATGGCGTAAACCGTTTAATAATTGGGGGTCGAAAAGGGGCGAAAAACAAAATTTTTTGTGGTTTCCAGGCAATTACTTGAGTATAAGTGTATAGATCTCTATTAAATTTAAGCACAAGGTTCCATACCACATTAGGAAGGTTGGGGTTTATTTTGGGGGTAATTATAGTAGCTTTTTAGGAATAAGGGACCAAAAAGGGCCTAACAAAAACTATTGTTTGTCTGGTTCACAGTTCGCAATCTAACAGTGTTTTAAATTTTTGATTTTGCGCTCGTTTTTCAAACTGGTCCACACTAAGGTCCAAAGTATCCAGAATTAAACTTAGTTTGATTTAAACCAAAACAAAATTTTGGGATTCTGTAATATACTGAATCTAAGCATATAATTAAATTTTTTGCACAGTTTTCAAGTTGGTTGAAATTTGGTCCAAAATTAAACTTTGTTTGATTTAAAAAAAATTGAATATATAGGGTTCTTTGATATGCTGAATTTAAGTATGTATTTAGATTTTGGATTTTTGGTGCTGTCATCAAATTGGTTCACATTGAGGTCTAAAGAGTCCAAAATTAAACTTAATTGCATTTAGATTTTTGATTTTGGGTCCAGTTTTCAAGTTGGTCCAAATCGGGGTCCAAAATTATGATTTCAACATAAATTGAATATATATGGGGTTCTTTGAAATGCTGAATCTAAACCTGTATTTAAATTTTGGATTTCTTGGCCAGTTTTCAAGTTGGTCCAAATCAGGGTCCAAAATTAAACTTTGTTTGATTTCAACAAAAATTTAATTTATGGGGTTCTTTGAAATGCTTAATCTAACCTTGTATTTAGATTTTGGATTTTGGGCTCCGTTATCAAACTGGTCCACATTGAGGTCCAAAGTTTCCTAAATTAAACTTTTGTTTCATTTCATCAAAAATTTAATTCTTGGGGTTCTTTGATATGCTGATTCTAACCATGTACTTAAATTTTTGATATTGGAACATAAAAGGTAAATGTCCGATTTCAAATTTTTCAGTTTTTTGACCGCATTCATTTTGTGTCACAAACCTATGCTGTGTCAATTATTCAATCACAATCCAAATTCAGAGCTGTTTTAAGCTTAAATATTGTGTCCATACTTGCCCTAACTGTTCAGGGTTCGACCTCTGCGGTCGTATCATGCTGCTCCCAGCGGGGGCATTTTATTGATTATAACATTGTTCGCTAACTGCAAATTAATAAATAGATACATGATTAAATCAGATTTTGAGTAAATCCTGCCCTTCAATGAGACCTGTACATGTCTACTGAACAAAAGCATAATAACCCAGAACATATGCATACAAAGTATATCAGGTATAATTTGAACTACATTGATATTGATTTATATCATTCTTTTATCAAAATAATATTGCATTCCTTTTGCAAATATTTGAACGCAATATAGTCTCTTGAACAATGTTCAACAGATATATTGATATATTCAGTGTGCAAAACCAGCAAAATGCAAATAGAATCTGTTGCAAATTACACTATACAACTGTCAATCGAAAATAAGACAACTTGAAATAGTTGTTCGTGTGTCTATGATCACTGACTTAACAGTGATACTAAATCGAGTTTGACAAAGACATTACAGATGATATTTACAATTCTGATTTATTGAAATGTTATGTTTTTGTTATTTTAGATTGAAACAACTGGAACAGCAAATAGAATCAATGACGAATGAACTTGTTCAGTAAGTTATTAACAGATAATAATATGATAACCTTTTCTTGTATCTTTGTTTTGAAAAAGAACTGTCACATGTACAAATTGAATTGATTATGCTATGAAGAGCATATCAGTTGGCGGTGATTGTTGAACACCATAAAAATATGCTCATATCTAACCTCTTTCTTGTTTTTTTTAAATATAAGATTGCTGTCTCATTGGCGTTTATTTCAAAACTTCTTTTATTAACCTGACATAAGATATATGGCATTTTATATTGCTAGTAAGAATTAAGCTAATATTTACCACTGTTTGTTATTCTTTTTTCTAAAAAGACATTTACGTTAAGTTTAATGTACCAACTCAACGAACAAACTTACCAAATGTTTGTTTAACAGACTTTTATATTACAGCTGTAACAACCAGGTGTGTTTTTTTTTACAGATTACAGGAATTTACAAGAGAGATTGGCCCACTTCGGAATGAACATGCCATTGCTTTGAGAATGCAAGTATTGTTTTCTGTGTAACAACCATTTCTTAATCTTACAAACTTTGAGGAAGTAGATATATTTTTCAGAAATTTAGAAACAACCCATAATGATTGCTTTGACAATAAAGACTTTTAATATTTTCTGATTATTATTTCCTTCAGATGATCCACTTGAATGAGGAAATTGTATAACTTCATGTCAGATATTTTTCGTAATAAAACATATTCAATCTACAGTAAAAATATGTGTTGATGAAAGCATCAGTGTTAATAATTATAATTATTTTAAATTTTATAATGTGATACACTTCCTACGATAGAACATCAGGTCAAATTTTGGTTTAAAGTATTTACCATCGATGTAAAACTTAGTACACATGTTCATAATGATGTAAATTTTGAAAAAATCATAATTTAGGGTTTACCCGGATTTCACAGTTGACAGAACATGGAAATGTGATAGTGCGATCAGGGCATCCTGTCCTAAGGATACATATTCTTCGTGTTATTATGTATTTATAAAATCCGTATATGTTAACAAAATGGGCAAAAGTCAAATCATCTTTAGATCTATTAGGACATCTGTATAAGGTCTTATCTGTATCTAATGTAAATGTCACAGTGTTTCCTTATCTTGAAGGCTTCAAGATTATGAAGAGAAAATAAACGTATTACAAAGAGAAAAGGGAGATGCATTAACAAGGTAACATAGTTAGATAATAGTCCATTATTTGTTGTCTTTCATATTGGTACTTGGTTCACATACACATGTTAATACATGCCTCATTTTATACTTTGATTGGGATAATAAGTTCCCTTTTAATTTGATGTAAATCAAATTTTTAACATTTTGCTAGTATCAGACGTTGTAGACTTTCTTGGATGCAAACTGAGTTTAGCTATTAACACCAGGCGTGTTCTTAGTTAAATGTTTTCAGAAATAATCTTTCTACATCAGCAGGACCATAAGGACCAATTTTTTTAACATTAAATGGCAAAGTGGTCATTCAAGTCAAACTCATTAAAATCTTTTATAACAATAATTTTCAGCATGGTTTGTGTCACTCAAATTCAAGTTAACGCTTAATTTAATTGACCTATTGTTTTAACGAAATATATAAAAATTCGAAATTTGAGACATCATTGATAATTTCGTCCCAATATGACTAGATTCAATTTTACGACATCAAAGAAGAATATATGTTCATCTATTTACCATGTCTTTCCATGTTAATATATGTTGACGTTCGACAGGATATGCTATCTTCCTAGGTTGGGGATGTCATGTTCTGAATCGTTCAAACGTTTTATATATTTGGCTTCCCAATCTTTTTCTTAATTCACGAAACACTTGTCGTGCGCGTGAATATAATATCTTCTTATAATTGTTTGCCATAGGATAACATTTTGGCTATAGGGTGACCTGTTTTGCCATAAAATAACATGGTTCTATTTCAAATTTATGTTTTTAGGTTACATTTAATCAAATTTGTTGGACAGACCAATTTTATTCAGTATATTGAATCGGAATAGAAATCAAAATCTTTAATTCGAAACATATGAAATACTAAAAGGGAAAAATATTTAGTTTTTAATGTATTGGTCGGCAAGATTATGAATAATGATTAAGAAGTAATGATAGATTTAGGTTCAGGTTAATTTCATTATCTGTAATTGAAAATTTCAAAAGTGGGAAGACAGGCAAACGATTCCAAAGGGACATTCAAACTCATAAGTCGAAGATAAACTGACAATGCCATAGCTAAAAAGAAAAAGACAAACAGACAAACAACAGTACACAAAACACAACATAGAAAACTAAAGACTGAGCAAAACGAACCACACCAAAAACTGGGGGTGATCTCAGGTGCTCCGGAAGGGTAAGCAGATCCTGCTCCACATGTGACACCCGTCGTGTTGCTCATGTTAGTACAAACCCGGTAACCAGGATTGCAGTTACGACATTTGGAACATGGGAAGTTGGTTTGCATTTTTTAACTGGGCATAGAAATCAATATCAAATGTGTGTATTTCCTAAGAGGAACAATCTGTATCATTAGCCAATCAAATCTCGCAGCCGGTAACACACGGATAACGGAAACAATCAAGTTAGACCATTTGTTTCTACTTTTTAAAAAGCTAATAAATCTGAAAGTTATGAACTTAGGTTACTTATGAATTAGCTATAAGTAAGAAAGCTAGTGTATTTGTTTTTGTTCTAGATTGAGTGAGGTAATGGGGTCAAAATTACGAGACAATAATCCAGGAATCACAGACCTGAATGATCCAAACAGACCAATGAAACTTGGGGATCAGTTTAGTGAGTTGTATGAAAACGAATGGACTGATGCCTACTCTTTATTAGAGGATTTCAAAAAGTTCACGGAAATCGAAATCATAGAAATTCTTATAAAAATTCTCAGCGTAAGTAGATATATTTAATTCTTCTGTCTAGTATTGCACTACATTAGGTTATTATTGCACCACTTCTTAATAAGTTTGTGTTATTTAAAACAAAAAACCTATTTGATATCATGTATTCACTTTCACATCATGCAGCAGGTAGTAGTGTTACGGGTGTAAAATGTGGATCAGGATCTGCTAACCCTTCCGGAGCACCTGGGATCCCCCTAAGTTTTGGTAGGGTTCGTGTTGCTCAGTCTTTAATTTTCTATGTTGTGTTTTGTGTACTGTTGTTTGTTTGTTTGTTGGTTTTATTCTTTTTAGCCATGGCGTTGTCAGCTTATTTTCGACTAATGAGTTTGAATGTCCCTTTGGTATCTTTCGCCTCTCCTTTAACAATACCAAACAACCATTTAATTGCATGTATTCACTTTTCAGCTGTAGATTATAAATAAAAAAATAAAAAATAAAAAAAAATAGGCTTATATATTTTGGCTGAAACATTATAGAAGATAACCGTTATACATGTAGTTCATGCTCATGACGACCGTTGTCTGAAAGGTACACACATTTACTGATTAAAACAGTCGTTGTAAAAGTTTATATACAAGTAAATCAACCGAAAGAAAGCAAAGAAAATACCGAGGGACAATTAAAAATCCTAAACTAAACTTGAAAATGACACAAAACACCATCGGCAGAAGATAACGTCAAAACAAAAAGACTAACAATGGTCGACAAATCTGCACACACTTATATGGTTACTTTTAATTTATATCTCCTTTTTATTGAAAATTCACATATGTTTGGCATTGCTTGTAGGAGATTTATGAGACATGTTTAGCAGATGTTTCTCAGCAGCTGTCGGGACACAGAAGCACTGTTCATGTAAGCAAATTATATGTATCAACAGAAAATATCATGAAAAGGACAAGATTTTCCTAATGTTAATTGTTTTCAAGAAAAGTTATCAAACATTAAACTTTTGAGAACAATCCTTGATTGAAAATGGTTCTCTTTGCTTATTTGTGGACGAAATAAAGTATAAAAAAACAAACATTTAGTCTCTGATGCATGATTTTTTTTATTGATTGTTTTTGGCTTTTAACTTGCTTTCAGAATCTGCGAGTGCTCACAAATAGTTTTTTCGTGTTAATTTGACCTGTTGATACAATTTGTAATGTATTTTGGTTATTTAATGTTTACTTATTCAATATTATATCTAGTCTCACTATTTTCAATATATACCACCTTTGATAAGTGTTTGGTATGACGATAGGTTTTCACTTTTGTTCTCGTACTAGGAACAACCAAATTATTTGTTTTGTAAAAACTATTTCTGTACTCCGTGTATACCTTACAACAAAATTATATTTATTTACCTGTGTGCGTGATTTTATTTGGCGGCATTTTGTCCAAGGTTATGGTTGTCTTTCTGATATTGTTTTACATCTGACCCCCTTGTTTTATAAGTTTTGTATTTGCATTGTGTCATAGATCAAATTTATTCGTTCAGTGTATGTTAACTTGTTTTTGTTAATACATCTTTTGATTGAGTTAAGCCATTTCAATTGATATTTTATAGTGTGTCTTTCTATGTTGTGATGTTACACTATTGTTTCAGGTAGGGTGGAGGTTGGCGCCTATTAAAACGTGTAAACCCGCTGCATTTGTTTGCACCTGTCCTAAGTCAGGAACCTGATGTTCAGTGGTTCATAAGTGTTTCTCGTTTCTCGTTTTTTATATAGATTAGACCGTTGGTTTTCCTTTTTGAATGGTTTTACACTAATCATTTTTGGGGCCCTTTATAGCTTGCTGTTCGGTTGAGCCAAGGCTCCGTGTTGAAGGCCGTACTTTGACCTATAATGGTTTACTTTTACAAATTGTAACTTGGATGGAGAGTTGTTTCATTGGCACTCATACCACATCTTATTATATCTATTTAATTATTATGACATTGCATTAAGATTTGATTCAGCAATCTTTTGCATTGCTTAGTCTCACATTTCGACTACTTTATTAGTTACAAATGTTTGTGACAATGTACAAGTTGATAGTCAAAACGATGTTATTTGTAGGGACTAAGCGATGATGAAATAGAAGGGTTTATAAAAGCTGTAAAGGATTCCATAAAAACCAATGCATCAAAGTATATTCCACTTCTTCGTAAGGTAAGTTATATGTACAGATGTTGAGAAACTATATTTTGTTTAAGGAGGCATTAAGGTATACTGTTTTGCAGATCGACTGTGCAGACCTTGGAAAAATAGGAGAAGGAATTCCAACTGATTCAATCTTGTAATATCATAAAATTATATGATGAAAAAACTACTGCTGTTAAACGATAAGTTTAACAACATTTTGTTGGCGTCTCTGTTAGATTTATTTGTATGTTTGTTTGATTTTTTTTAGTCAGTTTTGTTGTATGTCTGAGATGTATGTTTACACAGGTTTGGCTGCAGGATCCCAATTATTGTCACGTTAACCTATTAAGTCTGTTTGAGTTGCTCACCTAATTTTGTCAATGTAACAACTAAACAACTGTCACACGCGTGGGAGGTTACACTAGCTATAAAACTAGATTGAACTTACCATTTTCTTCGGAAAATGCCTGTACCAAGTCAGGAATATGACAAGTTGTTTTTCACTCGTTCCGTTGGTTGTGAAAGTTTGATTTTGTCAGTTTTTTTTATTGATTTCCACTTTTTTTAATTTACCTTGGAGTTCAGTATTTTTGTTATACTTTTTTTTTTCTTTCACCAAGTGTTACATGTACAAACTAATAATGTTAACATATTGAACGTAAAACCCCTCATCATTTATACATTTGTTTATTTCATACAACATGCGATTAAAAGGGTACTTAAACACATTTCTTGAATATATTTCTACAAAAATTATTTCGATAATGATTTGTAATCTACTAATTTCTTATGTTTAACCCTTTGTCTCATTTTTTTCAGAAAATAACCAGTGACAGTTCAAGTTGTAAAACAGTTGTTCAGCACAGAGATTGCTGTCTGTTATACATAGAAAATTGTGTCAACCTTTGTTACTATGTAGCTGTCCAAGATCCACCAATGGTTATAGACTTTGAACCTGGACAAATGTTTGATAAACAATCATGGAAGGAATACACTCGGTCAGGAACCGAGGTTGAATATGTAGTATGGCCTGTTTTGTATTTATACAAAGGAGGTCCGATTATGTCTAAAGGTGTTGTTCAGCCTAAAGAAAACATGCTTTGATGCTTTATGATATTCTTATCATATCACAGTGGGGATCCAGGATTTTTGAAAGGGGCGTAATTTTTTTACAAAAGTGAAGATAAAATAAAAAAAAATTAAGACAATTTCAGGCTTAAAAGTCATATAAATCTTGAGAAACATGATATTCTGATTATTTTGGGCCACCAAAGATGGAGGCGTACGCCCTTTACGACCCCTGGATCCGCCGCTGTAACATAAAAGGAATATCTTTGTATGATGTTTTTGTTTGATATATAAACGTTTAAAAAAGAAGAAAAAAAGGCACGTTTCAACAAGATAGAAAAGTACATAATTTTCGGTTTATATATTGTTTAGAAATAAATCTGTAAAGGACTATTTTGTTGCATCTCAAGACAAAAAAGAAATAAACAAATTTGAAAATCATTACTGTTATTAATTATATCAGAAGGTGTTCAGCATTACTCATTTCAAACATACGAAGGGAGCAATAAAAACAATCAAGAGCGACATACAATATCCTTGCCAAAAGAAAAAGACAGATGGAAAGTTGGAGACTACTATTGTGTTAAGTTTCATACATTTAAAAATGATCGAAAGATTGTTCTTTGTTTGACGTTGTTTCGTTTTTCAGTTCTGAGATCTATCATTTATCTGAGTATTATGTTTAGGTTTTTCGCAAATTCGTTGCTATACCTTGCTGTTCTTTTATTGATCAAACATATATTAGACGATAGAAGAGGTCTCATTTGGTTGTTTTCTTTGCGCTTTTCTTCATATAGCTTCACTAGGATGTTTCAAAGGACAAAATTAGCGCGGACATCGTTAGATAAATACCATTTGCTAGATAAGCAGGAGGAACCTAAAAAGAATAGCCAACAGTACTCAATCAATTATATCGACCAAGTAATAGTAAGTCAAAATAAGATAAACTGTTTTTGCTATCTTTGATGACAAAGTTTGGATTAATCTTTATATGTTACCAAACATTGGGATAGTCAATATGGGATCAATACGTGGGCACTATACGACAAAAGAGTAAAAAAGGGATCAGTTGGAACCCACGCCTAATTCCAGATAAAATCCACACAATTAACATTAAAGCAGTTTAGCTGCATACTGTTATTACATCAGGACACATAGCATCGACGATCAAAAGATGCTCTCCCTTATTTATACCAACATAGGAGTGGATTGCCAACTTTTGTATGAACTACTTTTGGACGATGCAGAGACTCTAGAAAACTAGCAGGCATTCAATATATAACACATATGTATATATAGACTTTGCTTAATAAAAATCCAAAGATAAAAACTGAATAAAAAATATATATATACTCAATAAAAATACTTTTTAGTTAAAAAGAATAATTTTAAGACAACCTTTTTAAAATATATTGAGGTGTTGTGATTTGTCTTTGTATGTATTTTGGGTGATTCCTGATATTTTTCAATAAATCATAAACGTCATAGTACTACTAAAAAAATTATTAAATCATCATTTTTCTTTTCCTCGAACTCTCTTATATCATTTAGTTTTTAAGCTTTTGTAACACTATATAAAATAAAACTCATATCTTACAATAATTGCATTGTTACGATTCACAGTAGATTTTCAAAACACAAGTGCTCTCACTAGTTTTTACTTACTTTTTTGTATTTTCAAAAAAACATTTTAAACTGCTTGTCAAAGAGCAACGTTGTCCGTCATCCGTTGCCTTTCAGCACACAAAGCCATCTTTGAACCGATTTGGCAAATCAATGAAGCACTGGGTCACCATCGTCAATATTTACCTAAAGTTCTGCTAACAAATTATTGAATATCTTAATACGTTTTGTTATTTGGAGAATTTGTTTTAATGACCGATCTTTATTGTCTTTTTCAAATTTATTCACAATAGACCGTGGACGATTTAGAGCTTGTAGTATTGTATGAATACTTATCTGTTGTCTGTTGTTGAGGACCAATGTGTTATCCTGTAGATGTCCGTTTTGGGTTGCTGTTTCATTGACTTATAGTTCATGTCATCTTTTAATAACATCTTTCCATTTGCATCATCTCATTTCTTCTGACTAAAACGAAAATTACATGTAATGACCACTAGCAAACAGTTACTCATAAATCCTTTTATAATACTTTTTAAAATTATAGATAAAAAGAGATGTTGGTGAACGTCAACGAGAGAGCAGCACAACGACGAAAATAGCCGAAAAGATCTAAAAGAAAAAGATCTCCTCTTGAAATACCACCAATTGGAATAAAACTGTGCAACATTCATTTTCAGGATTATATATAACCACCACCTTATATCATACTGTGAATAAAAAAAAATAATCGAAGTACAGAAGAAAAAACATATTTTTACAGATGGCTTTAGTCTTGATATCATGTCATAAGACCGATAAAATGTGAAGATATTAAAGATGAAAATATTTATCTGTGATTGTATCGAGTACACCTTTTGGATTTAAATATTGTTAACGTGGATCCAATTGTAGTAAGTGCATGATATTTCTAATAACTTCATTGTTCAAACATAAAGATACCCAGTGGATAGAACGTTTGCCATGAATTTAAATATTTGTTAGTATTATGAATAAGAACTATTCCCCAAATGAGTACCAATCCCTCAATTGAATAATCATTTGATAGTGCTAAAACAAAATTTTCTTAGCAGAGCCTTTTTACTTTAAGCACAACTTTATAGAAAATGGAACAACTTCTTTTAAACGATAATATTTTTGGGTTTAAATAAAGTTATAAGCCTTGAAAATGGTGAATTTGTCGAAGTTACATAGGCTTGTAACTTCTCAGTGTATCAGGTTAGGGCTATTCATTTTTTGAAAAATTTGCTGCATTGTTTATAAATATATGTCATTTCTAGTATAAAAGGGGTATAACAAAAAGTAGGGGTTTTTTGATACTAGAAAAGTATCCCTCATTTGAGATTCTTTAACTTAAATACACGCATCAATCTAAAGTATTTGAGAACCTGTTTGACGACATTACGTCATATAAACAAATTAGATATAGATAAAAAAACTGTAATTTTGTTTTCAAACAAAACAGTATTATTATATTTAGTTTTGATGACCACACTGGTTCATAAAAAAGTCTTATATTCACACCCAAAGGATGGACACATAACTATATGTAAAGGCATTTGCATTTGGACTAAAATTAACAAAAACATTTATAGATATAGCTCATTTATTCTAATATTGATGTTTGCAAACAATGTTGTTGCCGAGGTTGTTTCGTTACCCCTTTCGTACACATGTAGGATTTTTGAACTTCAGGCGATAATCTAGACATTTGGAAAAGTGGGGTGTTATCGGGTCTCGACTCAAAAAGGGGGCATTTCATCATATTTTTGTCTACTCTATTTGTCTCGAACTATTGGGGGTTTCAAACCCCGGTATTACCCCTTTATTGATTCTTCAAAAAAACAAATTAATGGTGGTAATATTAAAAAAAAGGGAATTCGTATAAGAAAATGCAGTGTATTCAGTCCACGATCTCGCTATTTTTAAAGTACAGTATTAATGTAAGACAAGATTATTCGAAATGAAAACGTAACTGTAATCCCAACGATTGATATTTATTTTTTAAATGAACTTTCAAAGGTCACACAACACATCGAGGAAGTAAAATATATGGAAGGTTTTTATATTTTTGTATTATTCATTGTTCTGAACAGCTCTTTGTAGCTTTTGTTTTTCGGATAGACTTGTTTTGGAAACGTCGACTAGGCCATTATCACTTGGTAAGGATTGTGTGTTGTCCGTGGAGCTTCAAGTAAGTCAACATGCAAACAAAAGTTATGTATCTAGAGTCTGTAAACATATCAGTTAAAAGGCTCCATCGTCTGATACCTACGTACGTACTACAAACTTAAACTTATAGAACTGGTCATGAGATGATCTTGATATGATATCCGTTTCGAAAAGTGAGACAACTAGCCTCTTATATATATTAGAAATTTTAATGCCAAATAACCGCCCTTTAATCGAAAACATATCTGGAAAAGGACACTTCCTGATCATTTGTCACCTCTTCTTGCATTTTCTTAAAGCTAGTCAAGGACATCGGAGTTTCTTTGATCCTTAACTGACCATATTTTTCAGATAAACAGATTATGTTCATTGAAAACCAATGCAAGTAGACGCATACCAAACTAGTTCGGAAGTTTATAAATAATAATGGTAATGCCGTAAAGCTATTTTAGAACTATCATCAAATTGAAGGATACCCTTTTAAAATATTTACATTTATTTAAAGAGAAATTTACATAAAATGTTAATAAGTTGTCTAGAGAGGATCGAAAACACACAAATTGATGATCGAATTTAGTTATTATAGCTGTTATGCCCGTCTTCATTAAAAAAGTCGTTTTAAAATTCTTTTTCCAGGAAAAATCCTTGTAGTCGACAGGGACAGGAAACATAACGGAAAAACGTACTGAAAAGGCAAGAAATGAACAGCAACAGTGTTGTACACATAATGATGGAATGAATGCGGGAGTTATAAGTAATTGTTGTCTGAGTTGTTGTCAAACTTTACTGAAAATTCCAATACAGATATATTGTTCTTAAGAATTTGAAACGAAGGTTTAATTTCCTAACATTTATTCAGTAAAAGTACCAGCCAACGTCGAGAAGTGGCAACTAAGAAAATATAATGCCTGTAAAAAATAACTAGAATCATGAGATTTTCCTATTCTTGAAAGATAAAAAAAATCATGTATTTATGATATTATCAATATGTTTAAAAGTTGATACATATTTTTTTATAACTAATAAGTAATGAGGATATATCTATATATTATGTAGTGAATAGTAAAATTATAGTAGTCTCTTCAAATATTGCTGTTCGGTGTGAGCCAATGCTCCGTGTTGAAGGCCGTACCTTGACCTATAGTGGTTTACTTTTATAAATTGTTACTTGGATGGAGAGTTGTCTCATTGGCACTCATACCACATCTTCCTATATCTATATACAATAATTTGTTGCACCGTTTTGGAATATCTATATCACACGGGTATATCCAACTTGTGTCTTCGACAACGTCCCCATTTTCATCGATTGTGACATCGCCGAATGCGACTTTTTTAACATATTTGTACTTGTCATTTGCAACGCGACGGGTGTCAAAAGTGAAGCAGAACTGCTGATTTTTGCTTGGGACCCGTGTTGCTGTATCTATAGTTTTCTCTGTAGTATGTTTGTCTATTGGTCTTCTTTCATTTGGGCATGAAGTTGTCTGTTTGTCTTCGATTTATGTGTTTATTGGGTTAACATTACTCCCTCGGTGTCTTTCTCTTTAAAAAAAAGCTGTTCTTAATATAGTACTAGAATAAAAAAAAATATCGCGATTTAATCAAACTTAAAACATAGTTGTGACGTCATTCTATTGTTGTATCCGTACTTTATTTCAGTGATTGGACTAGCATTTACCTGTAATAAACCATTATGTTACCTTTAACTGTCCAATATTTTAAAAAATAACCCGTCTTTCTTAAAAATATTGGACAGCTGGAGGTAGCATAATTGATTCTTACAAGTAAATGATAGTTCAAGGACTGAATTAATCAATCAATCCACACAATTTGTTTCTTCATTTTGGAAAAAAATTCCAACGAAAGAACAAGTGACAATTACACAAAAACATGTTTTATTAAGGTCACCTTCCAATACAATAATTTCGTCACTCATCAAGACGGTTTCTTGAAAAAAAACTTTTAAATTGATTTGAATAGTGTCAATACGTATTTTTTTCAAGTTTTGGGTTGTCCCCTTTAGCACCAATTTTGTTAATAATACTCATTGTAAGTTTTGTTTTTTGTGCTTTTAGGTATTTCTTTTTGCACAAGATTTTTATACCTCGTCCGTCTATAGATATAAAATTCGACGTCTGTGTTGCTCTCATTCTTCATAACATAATTTTCAGCTACAACGAAAATGAAATAATAAAATAATGCTTCTAACGCTTGATAGATCATGCCGCAATACGAGGACCACAAGATTATATCATAATTAGGAGAAATCGTTCATCTGAAGATAATGTTTTACCAAGTGTTGATGTGCAAGCCACAGATTAGTCCTTGGACAAAATAGCTAATTAAGATTTTTATTAACCACCTAAACCTCACCCTATATACAAAGTTCAAACCGAGAACTTTCTTCATGAACTAGGGGGCTACAACAGTTTTTTTTTAATTTTCAGGTGTCTGCGTTTATTTGCAAGTTTTGTGTTTAAAAAATCAAGGTCAATTTATGTGAACGAGGAAGGAAAGAGAGGACCTTTGTCATACGGGAAAATTATGAATCAATATTTTTTCCATGTATAGTAGGTGAATACGTGTGATCGATTTATTGATCTCCGGATATTTCATGGCGATCAATTTAGATATCCTAACTATATTGATTCATTTTTGCAAGTAAACAAATTAATATTTGGATCACAATTCTCTTAAAATTCATTGAAATAATATAAGAGGGGGAAATTCCGATGAAGAACAAAATAATTTAAATCGCTTTCACGCTTGTTATCTGTTTATGTGTGTTCATTCATTATTTTTTTTAGTGTTGTATTTGAAATAAAATCGACTGCGGTGCACTCGATATGGTTGAACCTTTTTCTGCAACGTGAACCTGTTTTCAAGCGTCATGCGTTTTTCTTTATTTTTCGAAGAAATAAGGAAGTAATAGGAGAGGACTACATTTTAGAATATATAAAACTTGCCTTTATTAGCTGCTATAACTAAATCATCATGGCCGCACTACAATCGGATATATCTGAACACATGATTTTAATCAAAAGTTTGAAACAAAACAATCAATATATTCGAAATCGCTATCTTCTTGTCGAAAAGAATTTAGCATTATGAATATACTTTCATCGTCTTCATCCATTTTTTAGACACCAAATGCATTTGAAGGACTCTATGGAAAATATATCATTTAGTTCTAGCGCACTCAAAAAGCATGATACACATGCACTGTGTCTACATGTACATGTAGTTATACATGACGTAGTTTACCTTCAACTGTACTTTTTGTTTCTATTGTTTAAGTTGAGCTACTTTATAAGGGGGTCAACTTGTAGGATAATATTATAAAGTTTATCCAAAACAATTTACACACTTGATGAAAAAATATCTTAACAAAAGTGTGCACTTGTTTGCTTTTTTCACCTTCTTTGACAAGTTCAACAATGTTTTAAGTAAGATATAAGCCTCCAACACTTCATTCTGTAAAATATTGAGCATATCTTTGGCCTGCGGCCTTAGACCTGTCCAATATTTTACAGAATGGACTGTCATCGCCTTATTTTCTTTACAGAACAGACACCTAGTTGTTCGTTAGTGATTGAGGTGTCTTTCTAAAATGACACATCTGACTGGATTCCAATGCACCATTATCTTTAGTTCTGAATACTAATATATATAAATTTATACCATGATCATACAAATGAACAAAGTTTCTTTCTGTTTTCTGCATGTTATGTTATATTAATCAATTGTCTATGCCTTTTTCTGTTGCAAACGAAACAAACAATTGAAGACAAAGCCTAATGCACAACAGAAAAGTAGATGCCAATTAAAGTCGCATGTCTGCTTTATTAGTTGATTGTTCATTACCCTTGATTACAGTCAAGTGACCGGTTTTGCAAGCGTATTGAGGATGAAACAATGATAATAGGAAATCTCACCAAATACTTGTCATATTGTAGCGATCATTATTTGTTATTTTCATTACTAGTACTTAATTTGATTCGTTTTTATTACATGTTGAGTCCTCCGATGTGTAATTCGTCCATCAGTTAGTGCTAATCTTTGGAATTAACACACATACAATGTTAATAAACATACTATGTGACGTTTAAGGTTTAGATTACTTCGGTCTTTTGTAATTTTTGTAACAGACAAAATGCATTTCAAAAAACGGTTGAAACATTACTGATATGTTTCAATGATGTGTAGATTTATATTTTATTTGTATTCAGATAATGGTTTGGATATTTGAAAAGTGTTGTTTGGTGTTGGAATACATTCGTTTTTCAATGAGAATGTAAGTTATTCATTTATGAATAAACATTAGCTGCACATATATACCATCACTAAGTTACTATACAACACGTACTATATGTTATCCCCTTAATTTATGCTAAAATGGAATGAATCGCTCACTTTTGCAAGGCTATAGTCTTTATATTGACTAGATTACTGAGTGGTCTAAAATATATAGAAGATACCAAGGGTACAATCAAAAAGCATAAGTTTAATAGCAAACAAACAAAACTAAAAAGACTAACAACATTAACAAAACACTACAGCTCTGTGCACAGTGCAGACGTCTTTACCGTTTGACGTATCAATAACTGGAGTTCGAAGCTCGTTAACGAAGCAAAGTGCATTTTTAAGTGAAGTGACTTCAAGAACTGATCAAAGGTACCAGGCTTATAGTTAGTACGTCAAGCGCGCATTTCATCTTCTGAAGGCTCATCGGTTGTGCTAGAATCAAAGTAGCAGTCCATTACAATAGCCAAGTTGAAGAGCATTGAGTAATGTTGTTTTATTCAAGAGAAACAACAAAATATATACGGTCAATGCCCCAAATATTTGTTAGTAAATATGACATAGACTTGTTGCAAGTAGAGAGGTATGTAAAATAAATACCTCCAAAACATTGTGTACCAATATGACAAGAATTATTGTAATTATTATAGTAAGTCTATGATCTGAATGGATAAACACACACTGAAGGAATATGCACAATGTTATACACACCTTACTAATATTTATCATAGTTAAAGTCATATGAAACTTCGAATTTAAAAATAAAAGTTGAATATGTTTTATAGTTTTACTATAAATCAAGTGTACGTGAACATTCTTGTAAAACAAAATTTAAATATACTACCATTGTATAATGGTCTTCCCGTACACTAATTCGCCGATATTTTCCCATATGCAGTGACCTTAACTACGAGACCTTTCGGTAGAACTCCGGCCACCGCACTGCGCAAGTGCGAGGGAAAAACCGTGATGAAAGAATGTAAACAAACGTTCATTGGAAGGTAAATAGTAATAACTGATTCTTAAAGAACACATTTAATACAACAAATCATTAAACCACTATTAAGGAAAAGTTTGAATAACAAATGGGAATGCATGGAAAATATAAAAAAAACAAATATCATGGCTCTATCAATTCACTTATTTGTCACATGCTCCACTTGCTCTAGATCTGTGTTGATTGTTTTTAAATGTCACGATCCGGTGAACTTCGGCAACAAACTCGAAAGTTAGTGAGCTTGCGATCAACAATCACGGTGTCAAATATTATTTGTCGATAATACGTGATAATAAATGTACAAAACGTGCATACAGGACTTAGTTTAGTATATATATAAATAAGAAGATGTGCATGCATTTGTTTGATAATGTCGAAAACATTAAAATTACAAGAAACTCGTTTCATATGACTTTAAATAAATATTCAAAATGGCATATTATGATTAAGAGGTGCAATATTAAAACATGTTTATTAAATCATGGTGTGATGAATTTCCTTAAGCATTAAAAGAATAAATGACTTGAAAGGAAGCAAAAATATTTATATCAAATCTTAAAGATAAACCTTAATAGAAAGTTTAATGTAAACCACAAAATATTAGAAAATAGATAATAAATAAATATATTTAGAATGAGTGAACACACACGCAAGATATATTTCAAACGTCTTGCTTATTTTTTGCACTTTTGTACACATTTATATTCTGCGTGTTTTTTGGTAAACTATTCAGTTTCATTCTGTTTTTGGGCAAGCCGTGAAAGTTATTTATCTTTAGTTAATATAAGGCCAGGATATTCTTTTTCAAAAACTTCCTGCCCCTCCCATCTAATCATTTATATGATGCCCGTCTATTAAGAATAGAGGGACATCACATATTAACTATTTTAATAGACGGGTATCATATAAAAGATATTCAGATATCCCTTTCAAAGCTAAAATGCATCATGTACTGTATAACACTATTGTTACTGTGGATCTTTACTTTTCAGGCTACATAACAGGACAATTGGGTACGTAGTGTGTATATTTACAAATAAGATGTAATACACTCGTGTGTCGGGCAAATAAATATAAATACATAATATAAGAGAGGCGAAAAATACCAAAGGGACATTAAAACTGATAAGTCGAATACGCCATGGCAAAAAACGAAAAATGACAAGAAGACAAACAACAGTACACAAAACACAACATAGAAAACTGAAGATTTAGCACCACGAACCCAAACAAAATCCGAGGGTTATCTCAGGTGCTCCGGAAGGGTGAGCATATCGTGCGCCACAATAAATGACACACATCCTATCACATGAAGTATAGGACATATTCAATTACGTCACTTCAGAATCCTTATTACGACCTCTAAGTCTAATATTTAAGCGAAACTCCATGATATATTTTCAATTTTTCTTGAACTTTGGTTCCTATAGTCATTTTGTTTTAACACCAAATTTTGATTACAGAATTTAGCTTACTCCTTTTGAACTTAGTAGAGAGTAAATGTAAATTCTAAATCATAATAATTATATCCAATAATGAACGTAGGAGTCGGTTACGATGCTTGTGCCCCTAGATCTCAAGTGAAACTCATTTACCAATGCATAGATTTCGATAGATTTTTCGGAGTTTTATGACTAAAGAGTATACAAATATCGACAAGAAATCGGAATCCTAATTTCTATTTTTGATTTGAATGCTGTTTGCACGAAAATCATATCAAATGTTTTTTTACTGGAGTTAAAGAATTCTTATTTCGTTTAGTGCAAATTGTAAGAGTTGACTGGGTTGAACCCTGGACTTCCGTGCTCTTGGAGTAATCCCGCAATTAAGATGACGTCCATGTGGGTGCGCGGGATTTCTAAATATGCAACTAACGTCTGATTGGAATGGGACGTTAAATCCGATGCCTGGTTTTGGAAGAGTGTCGATTGACGTAAAGCAGTCGACGACCAACAATTTAATTTTCCAGAGAAATTAGGAATTTCGATTTGTTCTGTAAGGATTTTAAAACCTTTTGGATTCCAGTTTGGCCTCGATTCTAGTGGCCACCAATTCGACTTACAGTATATAACATATGCATTTTTTGGACTGATGCAATTCTCGAAAACTATAATATTTGTTTTATTTTTTATTTTTCAAGGTTTCAAAAGATGAAGGTCGAAGAGGAGTAAGTAGTTTTATTTTACTTGATAAAAAAGATGAGTTTCAATCCCGTGTAACTTTTCCAACTAAATGAGTACTTGTGGAAATTTCTATTTGCACCTCTATTAATGATACACAGAAAGAATAACAGGATTGCCAAAAATATTGGACTGTACAATGTTTACAAATCACACTAACAACCAAAATCCGACGACTCCCAAAACATGGACGTACAAAGAAAGACAGACAACAACGAACATCGCATGTCTCATGTAGCATTACTTACTAGTGGTGGGGTGAAACCCGTTTTAAGTGCACTCCTTCCCCTTTTTTGCCAATCTTGACCATATGTTGTAACCAACCTGCACATTGTAGCTAATCGTGATCGAAAAAAATCATCAAGTCTTTATATTAAATACACATGTTGTTTGTCAAGTCCATTTCTCCTAGACGCAAGCTAGATGTGACCGAAAAAAGGTTGTCATGAATTAAAGCTGATAAGATGTCGTAAATATCTTTGTATTACTAGGGTATTATCATTATCCCTCAAACATAAGGCCGTATGCGGCTGTAATTATTCACATCTTTGTCCTTTTGTCAAGCAAAGCTGTCTCATGGATTATCATACCACATTTTTGTATAAGCTAAACTCAATAAAGAAGTTTGCAACACCATGCAATCAAATATAAAATAAAAAGAAAAGTAAGCTTATGAAAATATTTTTATATTGACCATATTACATGCTCTTTCTTGGAACTCAAGATGCAATATACTTTTTGTGACTGAATTGTAGACTGCACATGGTAGAAGTTGGAAATGGCACAAGTAACGACAGAAAACTTATAGAAGTTAATATCAGGTAATTTTTAGTATTTTTCATAGTTTAATTCAAACATATATTTTGCGCTTATGCCAAGTCAGAACCCCCTAGTCTTTGTTAGTTGTGTGTGCTTTTTAATATTGGTTCGTTTATATATGTTTTGGAGTACAGTGTGGCATCCATTTCGCTGAACTGTTTTCTGCTCTTTGGTCGAGTTGTTGTCTCTTTGACACATTCCTCGTTTCCATTCTCTGTTCTACATTTTAAAATTACAGTTTTTTCTACTTGCATGGGTAAATATTAAATACTTTTGAATGCAAAGGGAATTACTGAAGACCTGATTTTCTTTATAAAAATATAAACAGCTGATGAGATATTTAAAGTTCGAGAGAAAAAGGTAAAGATATATTGATTTAGAGTACAAATGCTTTCGTCATTAGTGTTGTTTTACTTTTATCGGCGAATATTTTTTTGATCGGTATTAACATTGATTTCGGTCATACAGCCTGTCGATAGTATATCATTACATGTTGATATTTCACAACATCATTTTTATCTCTCAGTCTCTTCATGATGTCTTATACTAAATCCGTTGAATGTGTACTGACTGATACTTTTGTGTGGAAGATCATGATCTATTTATAAAATGTAATTGGCTTTAAACTAGGTTTCAGTAACTACGAGTACTCTTAGATCAGTATTTTGTTTTCTTTGTTTTTATGATAGTGGTTTTAAGCATCGAACCAATCTGTTGAGTTAATGGGTTCAAACTGATTTTTAAAGTTTGTTTTTATCTGCTGCTGTTACACCTTAGTCCCAAATTAAAGAAAGGATTGAGCGCTTTTAAGCCTGTTTTATATTTGTTGTTTGAGTAATGTGACCAATCAGTTGATAATAAAGCCATTTGTTTTGACAGATTGTTCTTATGTTGTGCTATCACACCACTGTCCAAAGTTAAAGGAAGGGTTGAGCGAAAAAAATAATTTAAATCTAGGAGGTTTTGGTTGTATTTGTGCTTCGTATTAATCTGTTGAATTAATCCATTCACGAATAAAATTTGCAGTTAAAAGCTTTACAGATGTATGAAACCCTTAATTTCAACATTTTTTTGTTCATTGAAATATCGTTTTATTGTAGATTGCAGCAACAGGAAGGTCAACTTGAATTAACGAAAGATGAAAATCTACGGTGAGCTGTTGACACATATTATTGAAACTTATACTTCTTTTATTATGCTTATGTATTTTTTTAAAGAAAATGTTGGGTGAATTCAACTGTTTCTGTGGTAAATACTACTTGTCTATTGTTGAATACCTCTAGAAGTCGTTCATGGTTTTAAAATTAGGTTACGCTATGAAATTTGGTAACTGTTTAATTCACAACCTTCGTTTATTTGATATAAATGCCATGTATCTGCTAATTTGCGTTTTTAGTTAACTCATTTCTGTAAAAGTAGCTGATAAATTTATAGCTCATCTACAGCTGTGTGTTCAAAAACAGTTTCGTTCGCATGCTTGCCAATTTTGTAGGACGTTCTGTCATGCATTACAATTCATATTGACTCGTTGATTTCATTATCTTTTTTTTTTTTATCAAATTACTGTATTCAAACAGATTGAAACTCAGACTATGAAATATTCAGGTGTCAATTTTAAGTTTAATCCTATATAAAACAGCATACTGTTCTAGATAAGCTGTAAATGAGAGTTTTTGTGTGTTTTTCAGACTACAAGAATACAAAAGGGAGATTGGTCCACTTCGTAACGAATACAACATGCAAGCAAAAATGCAAGTATTGCTTTCTGCGGAACAACATTTTATAATTTTCCAAAGTTAAAGGAAGCAAATTCATTTGAAATTTTAAATAATTGAAAGATATTTTAAAATGTATCCAATTTGAAAAAAAAATTTATCTTATTTATTACCCAAGACACTAAGATGACACACACTATATAATGAAGTACCCATACAAACCATGTTGGATACAGATTTATGGCATACACATTTGTTATTAAGTAAGAAAGAAAAACGACTCATTGCTCTTCATCTTCGTACTTTATTCGGCCTTCTTAACATTTTTGACTCGAGCGTCACTGATAAGTCTTTTGTTAATGAAAATAAATGTATTTTTAATATGAATAATCATATTGTAAAATCGATATTTTTATTATGAACTAACGGAAGCTATGTATGTACAAAATCGAAAGAAAGAGATGTGATATGGTTGCCATTGAGGCAACTATCAATAAACCAATGATACAAACTCCTACCGTATAGTAAGTTATAAAGAGGTCCCTTGATCACAAACTTTGAAACAATTCAAATTGAAAACCAAAGGCCTGATTTCTACTACAACCATGAACAAAAAATAAATATGGCAAACAGCACCAGCCACAATCAATGGATTATAGGTTTTTGACTTGAGGCAGTTGAGATAAGAATTATTCACATCTTTGTTTTTGCTCAATCCTTCCCTTACATTATTCAGTGGTGATACAACACAACAAATTAACATCAAACATTAAATCACTGGAAAAGGGTTTGACTCGTTAGATCGGCACTTAGCAAACAAATATATGCAACAAAAAGATTAAAGATACAAAGTACCGATCTAAAGGTACGTGCTCGCAGTTACTGACAGCGATTTCAAAGCCAAATGTCAACTTGTAAGTAACCCATCTTCTCATCTTCTACCAGATTGTATAATACATTTAAAAATTAGCACATCTCTTTTACGCAGGCAAAATTAGCTGACGTGAATTGCACATGAATCTCACATGAATTTCACCTGAGATTCACCTCAAACGGGCTCATACATGAAACTCGCGTGAAAATTTTCGTGTGAATTTCATGTAAACCGAGATTCACATGAATCTCACATGAAATTTTTCACATGAATTTCACGTGAACTTTACAAAAAATTTCATGATTTTAATTAAATTTGAAAATTTAGATGTTGTTTGAATTACTTTATTCTATTGTAGTAAATAAACCATTTTGTAAGACGTTTCGGCCACTGGCCTTCTTCGGTTTCTTTTTTATCCTTCTTAACTACATGGTAGATATTTTACTTTCACAATTATTAAGATGTTATAGATTTAATTCCTTGGTAATGTTATGACGTCACAATAACATGACGTCATAATATCTTTTTATTAATGAAAGTCAAAGTGTAAGAAATTAGATATATTATAGTCATTCTTTTTTAATGTTGACCCCAAATGGCCTAATTGTATTTATTTTTTGCATCCACTGTGCTTCAATATATCTTCTATAATTGGCAGATTTTCGTAAATTTGTTGAAGAACTTGAACTGTCATGTCCTCCTTAACATGGTCTTTCTGGTTAAAGTGCTCAGCTACAGCTTTTCCCATGTTATGTCTAATATCGGCTAGGTGTTCTTTGATTCTTTCATTGAGGGATCTTTCTGTTTCTCCTACATAGACATGGTGGTCACATTTCCCACAGTGTAGTCCATACACAAGGTTTAAAGTTTACATCCGTGAATGTTGTCTTTGAAAGTGAATGTCTTATCCCCAGCACTTTAAACCAGTAAGACCATGTTAAGGAGGACATGACAGTTCAAGTTCTTCAACAAGATAACGAAACATCTGCCAATTATAGAAGATATATTGAAGCACAGTGGATTCAAAAACTAAATACAATTAGGCCATTTGGAGTCAACATTAAAATTGAATGACTTTAATATATCTAATTTCTTACACATTGACTTTCATTCATAAACAAATATTATGACGTCATGTTATTGTGACGTCAAATTATTGTGACGTCATAAAATTACCAAGGAACTAAATTTATAACAGCTTAATGATCGTGAAAGTAAAACGTCTACCATGTAGCTAAGGTCAAGTAACAGTAAATGGGCTATGTCACAGATTTCAGTAAAGTTTTCAATACAACTCTGGCTGGATGAATTACAACTGAAAATCGAAAAAATAATGCATTTATCTCATTTATCATTTGAATTATTACTGGTTGAATTCTTACAAAATGGGTGAAGATTTGTATAGAAAGAACATGAAATCGTCGAAAAACCTTCTAAAATTTGTCTTAAAATTGCCAAATCTCTTAATCTACTCCATAAGTTTTTCTTAAAAAACTATATATTGTTGATACATTAATTTCTGATATAATGATGCAAAATGAAGATAGGGTCACCGACTTCGTTTTTACGGTATACATCATTCAAAGCTGTGTTATTTGGGAAAAAAACACCAAAACGTCGAAATAATCGTAACGTCACCGCGTTGAAGGCCGTAAAACGTTGATTTTTGATGTTTTTCACTACCAACAAGGTAACAAATTGATTATTTGACAAAAAACGAAGTCGGTGACCATATGATTATTTCACATCATTAAAACAGAAATTTATGTGTCAACAACATATAGTTTTTTAAGAAAAATCTATGGAGTAGATTTAGAGATTTGGCGATTTTAAGACAAATTTTAGAAGGTTTTTCATCGATTTTATGTGCTTTCTATACAAATATTCACCCATCTTAAAAGAAATCAATCTGCAATATTTCAGATAATAAAAGAGATGAATGCATTATTTTTTCGATTTTCAGTTGTAGTTCAACGGGCCAAGGTTGTATGCAAAATTTTAGCAAAATCTGCGACATAGCCCATTTACTGTTCCTTGACCTTAAGAAGGATAATAAAGAAACCGAAGAAGGTCAGTGGCCAAAACTTCTTACAAAATGGTTTATTTACTACAATAATATAATATGTGTTCCCTATTGGAATTTTGAAACAATGAATTATTTAATTTCAAAAATTCACGTGCATATCACGTGAAAAAAATCATGTGATTTTCATGTGAGTTTCACATATAAGCTCGTTTGAGGTGAAGTTCACGTGAATTTCACGTGAGATTCACATGAATTTAAATCCACGTGAAATTGATGTGATTGAAATTTCCCTGTGTAGGTCATAGTTTTATTCAATGTAAATATTGATAGTGTCACTTTCTCTTAAAGGCTTCAAGATTTTAAGGAAAAAATAAATGTGCTACAAAGGGAAAAGAGTGATGCGTTAACAAGGTAATATAACTACATAAGAGTCCATTACTAGTTGTAATTTATATTGGTATTGCTTTTATTGCATACACATGTTAATACATGCCTCATTTTACACTCTAAAAAAATTATTTCCCCCTTAATGTTATGTTAATCAGCTTTACATTTTGTCTGTATCAATAGTTGCATACTTCTTAGATGCAGACCGAATTCAGTTATGATTGGTCTGATATAAATATCAAACATTAATTGTCGTCCTTTATTTAATGTTTTTCAAAAATTATCTTTCTAAATCAGTGGGACCATGCGTCCAGATTTAGTCTGTTTTTTTTTCAGAATCTCGTTATCTATTTTCAACCGACAAATACATATGGATGCCATGATTAAAACAAACATGTTTGCCGTTTAGTAATTTTAAATGTTTCATATTGAAGACTCTGATTCCAATTTTAAACTAAAATGACTGTCATTACAGAAAGGAATTTTAAATTGGTCTCTGTTGGTAACTGTCCAACAGATATAATTGATATTTTGCATGTTTTGAATAAAGGAAATATTTTTATGCACGTCTTAAATCGAAGAACATAATTTTGAAATAGGAGCAGGTCATCCTATGCCAAAACGGGTCACCAATAGCAAAAGGGTACCTATGATAAAACAATTAAAATTAAATATTGATTTCATGCGCACGAACCTTGTTTCTTGAGATGTTAGTCAGTTACGCTCGAGAAAAAGGTTGGGAAGGTAATAAATATTAAATGTTTGGAAGATTCAAAATCAAAACGAGGTTTGAACATAACATCTGCAGCCCAAAAAGACAGCATAATCTGTCTAACGTCAACATAGATTAAAATGAAAAGACATAGGAAATAAATGTACATATATGGAAAGATGTCGTTTAATTGACGTCATATTGTGCAGAAATTTTAATGATATGATTCCTAAAATTTGTAATTTTAATTAATACCTATTACTTTTTTAACGATCCTTTGTCTGAGTCAGTTGGTCAATTATATTAGGCGATGACTTTAATTTGAATGACGCAAACCATGCTGAAAATTGTAATAAAAAAATTCAATGCAGTTTGACATGAATGATTGCTTTGTCATTCAAGGTTAAAACTCTACTAACAGAAATAGGTTCAGGTCAATAACAGCATATGTACTGGAAAATTTCAAAACTGTAAAGTTAGCATTTTGTCTAAATGGACCATGAATACAATATTATATTTGTGTATTTCCTAAGATGAACAAGGATATTATAAATAATGAGGGAAAAAACAGTTTCGACCAGTGTTTTTTTTAGAATAGCTACTAAAATTTACAAGTAAGAACACTTTATTATTTGTTTTTGTTCTAGATTGAGTGAGGTGATGGGGTCAAAACTACGCGACAATAATCCAGCAATTACAGACCTAAATGATCCAAACAGACCAATGAAACTTGGGGACCAGTTTAGTGAGTTGTATGAAAATGAATGGACTGATGCCTACTCTGTATTAGAGGATTCCGAAAAATTAACAGAAATCGAAATCATAGAAATTCTTATAAATATTCTCAACGTAAGTACATGTGTTTAATTCTTTCTGATACTGTTGCATTACATTTGGATAGAATTTCACTACATTTGGACATAAATACACTAATTTTTATTAGATTTGTGTTATTTTGGACAAAAGGAAACCCATTTGATATTGGGTCGTCAAGATGGTTACTTATTCCTTATTCGTTACTTATTCCTTATTCATTACTTATTCCGTATTCGTTCCTTATTTGCATTTAATATGTTGCCCCTTTTAATGCTTTCTTTTCTTTTCTTTTCATGACTCTAGTGTTAGTTTTTGGTTCGAGGAGGTAAAATTACCCTGTTATACCCTGTTAGCGCGTATACTTAGAACTTATAAAGGCATCAAAACGGCAAGTTACCAAAACCCGATAGTCTAACGTTGTGACGGTAAACACGTTTTACAAACTGATTTCGCCCAGAGACAGGTTAATTTGTGGTTGGCACACTTGCCTCCTTTCAAATATCTCAAAAAGTCATTTAGTTAAGAAAGAATGATCAAAGTAAAGAATGTTATAAAAAGTAGCGATTACGGAAAAGTAATAAGTAACAAATAAGGAATAAGGAATAAGTAACCAACTTGGCGACCTTTATTTGGTATGATGTATTCACTTTCAAATCGAGCAGCAGGTAACAATACTAAACAACCATTCAATTGAATGGATTCTTTTTTCACTTAGATTCTAATTTTTAAAATAGAAATCAACAAACTTCAGACTTATATTTCAATTTGGCTAAAACTTTTTAGTATACTAGTAGATAACTGTTATAGATCATGCTAACGATGGTTGAAAACTGAAAGGTAAAAAAATTTACTGATTATAACACACTTTATCAAAATTTACAGACTTAAAACAACTGAAAGAAAGCAATGAAAATCAAAGGGACAATAATAAATTCTAAAGTAAACTTGAAATGGATACACAACACCACGGCCAAAAGAAAAAGTCAAAACGAAAATGCTTACAATAGTCGACAAATCAACGCACACTAATATCGTTACTTTTAAAATCAAATTTATATCTCCATTTATTGAAAATTCACATAATTTGGAATTTCTTGAAGGTGATTTATGAGACATGTTTAGCAGATGTGTCTCAGCAGCTGTCGGGACACAGAAGCACTGTTCATGTAAGAAAATAATATGTATTGACAGGAAATATTAAGATGGGACAAGGCTTTCCTAATGTTCATTGTTTTACAAGAAAATAGTTATCAAACATTAACATTTTGAGAAAAAAATCGTTAATTGAAGATGGTTCTCTTTGCTTTTTTGTGGACCAATTAAAGTTAAATAAACCATTTAACCAAACATTTAATTATTATGACATTGTATTATAAATTTAGCAATTTTTTGCACTGTTTAGTATTACATTCCGACTACTAAATTAGTTTCAAAGTTTTGTGACAACATACAAGTTGATAGTCAAAAAGATGTTTTTGTAGGGCCTAAGTGATGATGAAATAGAAGGGTTTATAAAAGCTGTAAAGGATTCCATAAAAACCAATGCATCAAAGTATATTCCACTACTCCGTAAGGTAGGTAGTATATTTTACAGATGACGGACAGATGTATTTAGTTTTAAGGAGGCACGCTCGACTGTGCACACTTTGGAAAAACGGGAGAAAAATTTTCAACTAGTTCACCGTTGTAATAGCCTACAATTATATGATCCAAATACTACTACTGTTAACCAGTAAGGTTAAAATTTGCTTTCACCTAGAAATAATTGTAACTACAAGTAAAACAAAAAATGTAAAAATACTAACACAGATCGAACGTAGAACTTCATATAACTGTAAACAGTAGTTAGATTCATACAAATTTCGATTTAAAGGTTATTCAAACAAATATCTTAACTATATTTCTACACAACTGCATATGAAGAAGCATTGTAATCTTTAAACCCTATGCCTCATTTTTTCAGAAAATAACCAGTGACAGTTCAAGTTGTAAAACTGTTGTTCAGCACAGAGATTGCTGTCTAGCATACATAGAAAATTGTGTCAACCTTTGTTACTATGTAGCTGTCCAAGATCCACCAATGGTCATAGATTTTGAACCTGGACAGATATTTGATAAACAATCATGGAAGGAATACACTCGTTCAGGAACCCAGGTTGAATATGTAGTATGGCCTGCTTTGTATCTGTACAAAGGAGGTTCTATTATGTCTAAGGGTGTTGTTCAGCCTAAAGAAAACACGCTATGATGATATTATATATGTTATCAAATCGTTTAAAAACAAAATGGTCTTACCATTTCATCAAAAATAATATCTCTGTATAATGTTTATAAAAAAATGATTTTAAATTATGAGGCTAATGGACGTATTTTTATTTTAGAAAAAAGTAAGACATGTGTCCATCAAATAGAAAAGTAAATCATTTCCATTATATATACTGTCAATATTATTAATCATTTAAAGATACTGTTTGCATAACTTTTGTTCTTTCTTTCTTTGTTATATCACAATAAAAAAGAACATATCTAAAAATTATTGTACTTTGGTTATTTATATCAGAAGAATTTTTTCATTTCTCATTTACATAAAGGCAACATTAGTATACCGCTGTTCAGAAGTCATAAATCGATTGAGAGAAAAACAAATCCGGGTTACAAACTTAAACCGAGGGAAACACATCAACTATAAGAGGAAAACAAAGGAACAAAAGAAACACTGAAGTGCAACAAAAGCAAACGCCAACATACATTGAGCCGAACTATTTGATAACAACTGCCATATTCCTGATTTGGTACAGGACATTTTAAGAAAAAGTGGTAGGTTGAACCTGGTTTTATGGCTAGCCAAACCTCCCGCTTATATGGCAATGTTAAAAAATATCACTAAAATGACAACACTACGTGACAGAAATACAGCACAAACACACGCAAGAACATTCATCACAGAGAAACGCACAAATAAATAATATAATAGTCGATACAACATGTAAACCGCAGGATAACAACGATCATCTTCCATTTACGACAGACAGCACAGGACATCACAAACAGTGACGTATTTTTGTAACGAATATATAATCTTGAAATTCCAACAATTATTTTCACAATACTAGTCCAAACAATTATCATGATAATGATGGTATTGAAAGGCTATTTTATAATTATTTGGACTACAAACGATTAGACATAACACATTATTTAACGGAAACCACAACAGAAACATCATAAATAAATACATGAATGTTGGATGTAAAGAATACCGAGACACGTCGTATAGAAATGGAAATTCACACTTGGCAAAAACAGTCATATTACAACATACCATGGAGGCAATAATAAACACAAGTGGTCGGCAGACATCATCTTTGCCAAAAGAAACAGATAAAGCCAAAGTGGTATTTGTTTCGTTTTTCTGTTCGGAGTATTCTTCATTTTATATTGTTCTCTATGTATTGAATTAGGTTTTCCGCTGATAAAAGTCGTTTTGATACCCTGCATCAAAACCTTTTTATTAGACAATATATTTCTCATTTGTTATTTTTTCAATAGCCGATGCGCTTTCAAAAATTTCTTTCACCAGTATGACTCAAAGGTTAAAAATATAGCGGACATTGTTAACTAAATACTAAGCTATATGGATAGAAGTGATCTAAAAAAATAGCCTTTAACATCAAAGTTCATATTTTGAAAACTGTTTTAGATCTTTGTAAACTTGTACAAATTTACCACATGGTGTTTTATAAATCACAACCACCACCAACATATGGATAACTGATAGGTGAATGTCTATGACACAAACAGTCCACAATCAATTATATCAACCAAGTGATAGTTAATCAAACTAAAACATACTGGCTTTGCAGCAAAGGAACAAGAAGTTTAGCATTGCGTTAAGGGATGGTGAAATGATTTCAATGTTTATTAATAGACGTGTTACGAAATGGTATATACTCGACGGTGAAGATGACAAATTAGACTTTAAATGTGGGTATCGTATCAAAACACAAAAGTGCTTTAAAGATTTAAGTTACCTGTGTATCTACTGATGTCCACGTATATTTGTTCCTTATAACAGACGTCCCTTTGAAAACTTTATTATACATAAACAATTTCATTATAACTACAACTCCTTATGGAACAAATATTCCATAACAATTATTTTGTGAGGAATAAAAATTATAAATCCCATAATATACAAGTCAACAAAAGAAACGAAACTAGGCAATGTATTTTCCATATATAATGAAATTGGATGCATTGTACCAAGGTAAATAACTGCCCAATTGGTCTAATATTTACAGATTGTTATTTTCTTATCAAAACCATTGATTTAAGGCAAATTCGCGATTTTTTTTTTATTTGCAATTTTTTGTTATTTAAAAATCGTATTTTCACCCAAAAATTCAAAAATCGATATTAGAACTTAAAAATTTAAACATAAACATGTCCTGCTTAAAAGTCTGAATGCCTTTGCAAATATTTGAATACTAAATTCTCATCTTCGAAATTAAGTGCCTACTTTTGTCATCATTTTCCGCAAAATAAATTTGCCCCCTGTGTTCAATAACACGGTATTTTCTCACTTTCCAATTTGGTCAGATTTTTTTATTTATATGCATTTGCTTTGCAAATGAATGTTTTTCATTGGAATATTTAACAGTTTTACCTATTTTCAGAATCGCACTCTGATTTATTTTTGCAATTCTACTATCTTGTATATCGCAATCCTGTGTATCTGCATAGTGCATCATTACCAAAATCGTTTTGTTTATTTAGAAGTAGTTTCTTGTACTTAAAATGTCTGAACTTTCTGACGGAATTTAGCCTTTTCATAATATTATTGACTTTCGGAAATCCTTGTTCATTTACATCAGTACTTTCGGAATCCATAAAATTTGGAAATTCAACACGTTTGCCTTCAAATTGTATATCACCGACTTGTTCTGGTAGATAAGGGAAAAATGGGTCCTCTTGATTGGGACTCTCAATATTGTCCTGGTTAGGTGATAGACTTAACCGAGATAGAGTGTCTGCAACCTGCATATTTTTGGCTGGCTTATAACGGAGCTCGAAATTGAACTGTTGCAAATTTGCTACCCATCAATCATATAGAGCCCCTTTAAGCTGTTTTTGAAACATAGGACTAAGGGCATTATGATCGCATTCAACAATGAATTTTCGACCTCGCAAATACATTGCACAATCTAGAATCGCGTTACCATCCCTAATAATTATAATTTTGTAGGTCCGTATGATCTTTGCCATTTGGTCAAAGACTTTGACCCAAAACGAATAACACGCACTTCCTTGGTATCGTAAGCTTGCTCCTGATACTGGTACAACATGTATCCTATACCTTAAGCACTAGTATCCACTGCTAAATAAAATTCAGTATTAAATTTGGAAATTCTAGATAGGAGAGTTTGTTAATAACAATTTTATCTTGAAAACAGCATTTTCTTGTTCAGGCGTCCACTTAAATTAGACATTTTTACGCAGTAGTTTGGTTAGCGGTTCAACATCGGCGCTAAAATTTGGAATAAACTTCTTGAACCAATTCAATAAACCTAGAGTACAACGAAGTTCTCGTACAGAACGAGGTGACGGATATTCCTGAATTGCAGTAATTCTATCGGGCGGAGGCTGTATTCCATCTTTAGAAATCAGATGTCCTAGAAATAAACACGATTTTTGTGCAAAATGACATTTCCTCGGGCCCAATTTTAGACCAGCGGCTTATAAGCGATTAAATAACTCGCGCAAATTACTAATGTGTTGATCAAAAGTTTCCGATGTTATAAGATCATCATCTAAATAGCAAAGACAAGAATTAAACGTTAAGCCATGGAGCACTCTGTCCATTAAAAGTTGAAATGATCCTGGCGATGAGCTCAAACCCATTGGTAATCGGAGGAATTTATAAGTCCCGTAGCAAGTATTAAAAGCAGTATAACGTTGACTTTCTGAATTTATAGGCATTTGAAAAAATCCTGAACTCAAATCAATATGTGTTATAAAGTTCGGTGTTCTGCTTGAGAAAGACTCTGTTAAATCCTGCAATTCCGGAAGTCCATAAAAAAACTGCTGAGTTTAGGAATTCAAATAGCGATAATCGCAACAAAATCAGAACTGTGAAAGACTTTTTGAAAATTGAGAATCACTTTTATTATTTTGAGTGTTTTAGTTCGCTTCGAAACTAACACAATTGGACTTATGATGGGTATATCCTCGGTTTCATCGACCGGGGCAATTATTCCCTGTTTTAGCACATGATCTAAATGATCCCGAAGTACTTGGTTTTTTTTATCTGGAGTAAGACGATACGAACGTTAATATTTTTGCTTGAAATCTGGTTTCAGAATAATCTTGTGCTGTACAACAACGTAAAACCTAAATCAGATAAATGCGTTGGGATATCAAAATATGACAGAAATTTTGCTCCGCTTTCAACCTCTTCGGAAATCTTTTGTTGGGTCTTGAATTTGAACGTTATTTCTTCAAGTTTTCCATCGTTTGGAATCGTTGTAACATCAAAATCATTGTCCAGTATCTCAAATTGGGCTAAAATTGTTCCACTTGAGATGACAACAGTCTTACTTTATGGATTAAATATTTTGACGGGCACCAGTTGGTCCTTATTTACAGAAACTACTGATTTCGCTGTGACAGCACCCAATTTTAATAAATAATTGTGACTCGTGCAGATCCCTTGCACACCATGTAAAATATTAACACGAACTTTGCCCCATACTATCATCTCAAAATTCGGCAAAATAGATAAGCGCTTTTGGTTTTTCACTTTACTAAATTGAGAAAAAACAGACAGTTTAGAAAAATCCAACACTATTTTCTTTGAAAACAAATAGTCTGTTCCTAATAATAAATGATGTGATGTTTGCGAAAATATATTTAATAAAACCCAATGTTTTCCTTGCGATATTTGAATTTTTATCCGCGAACACCAACAATGTTTACAGACTGGTTATTTGCTAAAACTATTTTCTCACTAGTTGAATTAACCCACGACTTGAGTGTTTCTGGTATGGAATTGAAAAGTTGTTGTGAAATTACATTTATTGAGCTTCCCGTATCTATGAGAGCAGCTATTTTCACATTAATAATTTGTACTGGCAAATAGATAAACTTGTTTCTGTTTTCTGTAGTTGATATAGAATTATCATATTCATCATCAGACGTTGGAAAAGTGTCAGATTGTATATTGTTAGTAACTGATCTAGAAGGAGAGCGACTACGCCGCCTGGCACCTAATATCGCCGTCCTCCCGGTGGGCCGTGCCTGGAGTCCCCCGGGATCGTTCGGTTTTCCGAAAGTTTCATACAACTTACTGCTGAATGACCAATTTGATCGCACAGCTGACATTTAACATCTGAACTAATAATTCCTTGACCATTCCAATTACAATATCGTTTAATATAATCTGGAGAATTACAATTGAAACATAGATTACTCGACGCATGGGAGGGATCAGGTGTCTGTTGACGATTGTAAGAAAATCTGTCAGTACGT